AGTGTGCCTCTGTGTGGCTGCACCTGCACCTGCATGTGTATTCTTGCCTCACTGAGGTCAGAGACCTTGTCTCACTCTGCTTTGCATTCCTAGTGCTTGTAACATGATCTGCTATGGAGTCAGGGCTCAAGAAATATTGCTGATAATTTGTAATACATTTGATTCTCCCAACATCTCAATGAGAAAGCCTGTTAGCCTCATTTCTTAAGGTGGAGAATAGGTATTATAAAATTATCTATTATACTTAGGTTTCACTGGGTATTTTTTTTTAAGGGTAAGGATCCAGAGGGGTCACATGACTTGTCCTAGATGACATATTAGAGAGCCAGGCACTACTTATTTACTATAAAGTTTGAATCTTTAATACAAGTTTTCCAAACAGGTTTGTTCTTTGAAGTAGCAAGCTATATGCACCCAGATCTGCATACAGGAAGACTTTAAGAGCTTTGTGGGCACTGCATAGTTTCCAGGGAGTCAATTTCCAGACCCTTGGCCTGCATATACTTATCTGCAGCTGACTGGTGTGAGATGGTGCCTGTGGTGTTTTGCCTCCTCTTCATAATAGCCTTCTCTCACTTTGCACAAAAAGGCAGACCTTTCACCCACTTGTTGTCCTCTTAAGGTGTGGTGCTGCAAGATGGAAAACCTGAAGGCCACGTAACAAAGGGATAACTAGACTAGGGTTCTGAGGTGTCAGTGACGGTTTTGCAACTCTAGGGTCTCCACTACTTAGTTTTCACATAAACTGAAGGAGACTCTAGTCAAGTTATTAAATAATGATTTAAAAACATTTATGATAGGTCATATCTGGATTTTGGCCATGCAATTCAGAAAGCTTCAGCTTTATTTTATTTTTAGGTGTTGGAGAATGAACTCATATGCTAATAAGCATGTATTCTGTGTGGGCAGTGTGCTCACCACTGAGCTACACCCGAGCTCCTAATTCAGAAGGCTTCAATGAATTAAGTTACATCACAAAATTACTTTCATATCCATGTGCTTATCTTTGTGAACAAAATTTCTCATGTGTGTAAAAAAGCCCCAGTCAGGAAAGCACTGATGTTAGACTACATCTCATTCTAGCAGAAAAGTGATAATTGTCCATGGGCAAATGAGTTAATTAAAAGAGGAAGCCCCATATTTCTCATTAAGATACACATTTCCAATTGTTTTGCTTTTTATATTTAATAATTATCAAAAACTATAGTATATCATTTCTATCATTTGTGTACTCATGATAGTTAAGTCAGAAGAAAAATCTTAACAATGAGGTCCTTTCAGCTGAAAAATCTTAAGTGTAGAATAAATTCTTGTTACTGTGGTAGCTCTGTTCCATAGTTATCTCAATCACTATATTCTCCATGATTGAGACATTGCTTCTAGGGGAGACACAGGATTACGTTTGTCTAAGAGTCTGGTGACAATACTTTGTCAATCAATGAATACATGATCTTGTTTTATGTTTTGTTTAAAGATGGCTAATATTTATTACAAACAGCTGTAGAGAGGATTTCTTTATAATGAACACAGTTTCAATTACAGCATATATAATATGCTCTACCATGGCTGTACTAGTTGAACTCTTCCACTGAGTCATATATACACACCATACATATACAGAATGCTCATAAAGACTTAAGTAAGCAAAGCACTGTGAACACATACTATATAATATGAAATGCAAATGAAGTTCTGAAAAAAGCACTGAGCAAGTTAGGCATTTAAAATTGTATAAAAATGTTAACAGTTTACTGTAGATGGAACTGCAGGAGGTGTGGTTTAACCCCAAGACCTTGGCTTGCCTGTGAAGACCAAATGGTGGACTGGTGGAACTTACCTGGAGAGAGGAAACGTCAAGGAGATGGGATTGTGATCCAGCAGTTCTATCTTTTGCATCTTTCCCTCTAAAATTGGCTAGAAAAACTGCTTCAGCTTTGTTTGCCTGTTTTCTCCTCAAATCTTTAAGCATTTCTGAATAAGGGACAAATGCAGTGGAGGTGAGGCGCTTAAATGTGAGACTGCGTTCAAGCATAGGGTCACATTCTTCCATGTCACTGAAAATTTTTTCCAGGGCAGAATTCCACTCTGATATTTTGGCTGCTGTAAGAGGAATAATTCTTGGAGTCATGGGCTGGCTGACATCACTATCTTGACTTTCATCATTGATTCTGATACCATGTTTTACCATCTCATCCAGATTTTTGTTGGTAGGTTCTACTGCCTTCTCTGCCAAAATTTCCTCCACATCTTCTTCCCTCATGTCATTGAAACCCTTTCCACTTATTTGTTGTGCGGTACACATTATGTTTTTGACATGTTATGTTTTTTATATTTTCTGTAACACCCTCAAAGCCTTCAAAAGTTTTCACACAATTTGGCCAAACACTTTCCCAGCAGTTATTGATAATAGTCTGTTTGATGTTATCCCAAGCTGTGCCAACATAATCAATAACATTGCGGATAGTCACTGATTTCCAGTAATCTAACATGGTGGCTTCTTGGTTGGCAGCAAGTGTCTCACAAGCTTTACTGTACAGCTCTCTCATGTACTGTGCCTTGAAAGCTTTTATTATGCCTTGATTGAGGGGCTGGATGAGAGATGTAGTATTGGGGGGCATGAAAAGAACTTCCACATTGGGGTGGGCATTTTCTAGTTCTTCATGGCAATGAACTGGGGCATTATCCAAAATTAATAAAACCCTAAAGGCAAAGTTTTTGCTCTGGAGATAGCATTCTACTTCTGGGACAAAGCAATTGTGAAACCAATCCCAGAATATTTCAGATGCCATCCATGCTTTTTGGTTCCATCTCCAGTGGAGTGGCATACAGTTCAAATTCTTCCCTTTAAGTGCACCATTAGGGGCTTGCATTTAAAGTTGCCCTTAGCATTGGTGCATAGCAGCAAGGTTGTGTGATCTTTGAGTATTTTAGAATCAGGATCCTGGGAAGTTTTTTGCATCACGTAAGTTCATTTGCCAACATTCTTGTAAAACAAGCCAATCACATCGGCATTGAAAACGTGCTCTTCAACATAACCCTTTTCATGTATAACACGCAACGGTACTTTTTAAATTCTTCTGCAGCTTCCTGGTGTGCAGAACCATCCTCGACTGCAAGTTTAAAGTTTTTCATGCTGTATCGTCTTTTGAAACGTGCAAGCCAGCCTGCACTAGCTGAGAATGATTTAACATGTTCCTGACCCTGGGTTACGTGACTGTAAATTTTTTTGGCTTTCAGCCTCACAACAATGCTTTCCACTATACTTTTTTTGTTGATCATCATCTCATGAATCCACAAATTTAGCTGCTTTTCCATGGCTTCGTCACGTACTACAGATGTTACTTTAGCGCTCTCTGGAGCAGCCTCACTCACAGACCTGCAAATATCTTCTTCCTTTTTCTGGATGTATCGTATTGTTGACTCATTAACATTGAACTCACGGCCAACAGCACTATAACTCATGCCCAAACGGAGCTTTCCTAGCACATGAATTTTTTCTGTAAGACACATCACAACTTTCTTACGCTTAGGAATGCTAGGCAGCACTTTAGCACTACTCTTGGAGGCCATTTAAAACAGCAAAATCACCAAACGAAGGTACAAAAATCAAAAAACGTTTCCTAGACTGTGTAAAGGATATTGTTTATAGTGTAAAGGATATTGTTTATAGTTACATATTGTTTATAGAGAACTAACAAGAAAGCAGAGCTTGGCCTTCTTCAAGTCCCACTGGGACATGCATACAAATTGATTAGAGTTTCTCACTGCTCTGCACTTGTCCATAAATGCCCGAGAATGTGCCATGAGTATCTGTTTTGTGATTACATATGTATGGGTGTCTTGCAAAAAAGATGCCGTGATCAGTAAGGCTTTAAAGCATAAAGATACATTAGCATACAGTTCTGTGGGATGAATAGAATAGGAATGACTTAAAGGAGAAAATGATGTTTGCCTTTGAAAGAAGAGTTTTTTCATAAGTTTCTTAAGATGGAGAATGGGTATCATATCTCTACTGTATTTAAGATTCCATTGGGTATTTTTTTAAAAAGGTATAACCTGAATTTTAAAATGCTGTTATCAGAATGTCGGAAATTATATCCTTTCCAAATATTTAAAATGATGGCAAGAAAATTCAGATGTCAACTACACATGTGGTGTATATTCCTAGAAAATTCTTCCAGGGTAGAGAGAAGCACAGTGCACGAGGTGGCGGCTTTGGTTTTGGTGTTCTACTCTTCACTTTTACTGACAAAAATAAATCTGTTCAGCGTGGAGGGAAACGTGCTAGCCTTGTCTCTAGGGCTTTTCAAACCTCACTTCCTCTCTTATGGCAAAAAGATCCAGGACTCCTGAGCAGCCCGATGGAGTGAGTGCCGTGATTTCTCCCCGCAGGGCAGCGGCTCCACACGCTGCAAGTCTGGACGATGTGTGGGTGCAAATAGCAACGCTCGGTTCTGACGCAGTTCAGAACGGAAAGGATCTGATTTAAAAATGACCCTTGGGTCTAAAAACGAGCCGCCGCCGGGACGTCTCGGGCTCCCCCGCGGTGCTGGTCGCAGGTTTCCCGGCCCGGGTCGGCCGGGCGCCGTTTCTGCTCGGCGCCCCGCAGCGGCCACCGCTCCGCGGGCGTCTCGGCGCCGCCGGGCGGTGGCCTAGGCGGCTGTTGGGGCTAATCGCCCACGAAGCGCACGGCCTGCATTCGGGAAAGAGGACATCGCACTTTAGCCCAACGCGCCTATTACCTTGCTAACCGTTTCAAGTTAGGCAGGAGACTAAAATCGCACTCTCCATGAACCCAGGTGAGAAAGCAGGGGCGTCGGGGATGCTCGGCCGCCGCGGCCGTTCTCCCGGCTCCCTCCGGGCGGGCGGCAGGGGAGCAGGCGCTGGGGACCGGCCGAGAACGGCGGCGCGGCGGGCAAGGACCCGGCGCCGGCCGGAAGAGGTCCCTGCGGCGGCGGGGCGCGGTCTGATGGCGTCACTACCGGCGCCGGCCCACTTCCGGGTGAGGGCAGGGACGGAGATTGGTGCCTCCCGCAGGAAGGAAAGAGGGTGAGCGGAGCGGCGGCCGGGAGGCTCGGGGCCGCGCGGCCCGCCCGCCGCCGCGCTCAGCGCCCGCGCTGTGTGTTGCAGGTCTACCCGGAGCCGCGGAGCGAGAGTGAGTGCCTGAGCAACATCCGCGAGTTCCTGCGTGCCTGCGGGGCCTCCCTGCGCCTGGAGGTGAGCGCGGCGGCGGGCGGGGCGGGGCCGGGCGTCGGGAGAGGCGGGACGCGAGGTCCACGGGGCGCGGGAGGTCGGGGTGGAACCGGGAGGATGGGGGGTGAGGGCTCGTGAGGGTCTGGAATGTGGAGTGTCCCGAGGATCAGGGATGGGGGTCGTGAGGGCCCCAGGCGGGCGCGGGAGGGTCGGGGATGGGCATGGCTCGTGAATGGGGGTGGTGAGGGCCCACGGTGGCCGCGGGGCGGTCGGCGATGGGCGTCGTGAGGGAAGGGGACGGGGGTCTGAAGGGTCGGGGTGCGCGCGGCAGGGCCGACTGCGGGGCCGTGGGGGCCTGGTGTCAGGGCTGGGAGGACCAGGGTGGGGGCGTGAGGGGCGGGCACGGGGACCGTGAGGTCACGCTCGCGGATGAAAGCCAGAGGTCAGCGTCCAGCGATGGGGGTCCATGAGAGTCGGGGTCGGAGACGGGGTTCGTGAATGGCGGGACTCGGGTGGGCCTGGAGGGTCGCCCGTCCGGGTGCTTGTGGGAAGGCCGGGTGCGGGCTTCGTGAGGTTGGGGGCCAGCGACGGTGTCCGGAAGGTCATCGTCGCCCGTGGCGGGGGGATGCTGCCTGTAGCGCCCAGCTTTGTCCTCCCGCCTGCGGGCGACGTGGAGTTCTGGGCACCTGCCGGGGCTGAGCTCTTGGTTGAGGGATTATCTAGGACCCACGTCCACGTGTGGCTTGGTTCTCAGCAGTGTCTGGCAAGGCTGGGCTGAAATGAAGCGGACCTCAAACCCTGCTGGCCTCGCTCTTTTCTCTGCCTTTTCTTTCTCAGGCCAGTCATTAAGTGGTTTTACTGGATTCCTGATATTTCATGTTTATAAGTTAGACAACTCTCATGGACCTGGGTTTGGGTTTCAAAACGTGATTTGGGGGAGCAAGCCTCTTGCATAAGATCCAGAAATCTAGCTTGGCCTTCCTTGGGAGCAGCAGGTTGATATAATTGCTGTCCTTTTTGCTACTTACCATGCTTAGGTTTGTTTTTTATCTGAGAAATGAGGTAGGTTAACACAAGCTCCCAGATATCAGCACATGTATGAAAACATATCTGATTACCAAACAGATGATTTTCTTTCCTGAAAGTCTCTTATAGTAGGTTTCTGGGGGAAAAAATGTAGAAGCCATGAATTAATTTTCTTAATTGAAATTAGACACATAGGAATTTATGGGGATTAAAGTATTTATTTATTTATTTGGCGCTGAGGATCGAACCCAGTGCCTCAGGCATGCCAGGCAAGCGCTCAACCACTGAGCTACAAACCCCAGCCCCAAAGTACTACTGTTTTTGTTAATGATTGTAAAAAATGTATTTTACCTTTGATGTGGGTAGGAAATATTACAAATAAGTGAAATAAGTGAGAAGTACTTCGGGGAGATCTCAAAAATCCCCATGGCTCTTTAAGAGGGAGAAAGACATTGTTTGAATAGATTTTCCCATTCTTGTATCTGCCTTGTCTTTCATGGTTAAATTTCCTTATTAGGTTGTGATAACATGGTTTGTTAGTGGCAGTTTTTACTTTACTTTGACCTTTGCTGTAACATTTTATTATCCTCTTCAGACTACTGTTTTGTGTGTGTTACCATATTTTAAAACCTGCTTGCTTATTGAGATCATAACTTCAATATGAGACTTAAAGGAAGTTTAATGTTAAACCCTCATTTTAATTTCCCAAAGGTTCCTGTTGATATGTGATGTGGTGCCTGTTTTTTATTTTTATTTTTTTAGTTGTTGATGGACCTTTATTTTATTTATTTGTATGTGGTGCTGAGAATTGAACTCAGTGTGTCACACATGCTAGGCAAGCGCATTACCATTGAGCCACCACCCCAGCCCTGGTACCTGTTTTTTTTTTTTTTTTTTTTTAGTTTAGTTTTCGGCGGACACAACATCTTTGTTTGTATGTGGTGCTGAGGATCGAACCTGGGCCGCACGCATGCCAGGCGAGCGCGCTACTGCTTGAGCCACATCCCTAGCCCTGGTACCTGTTTTTAATGTTACAAATGTATATAAAGGGGCTGTAGAAGAATTTGTTGACTGATATGTCCCAGTCACCTACAGCAATGTTTGGCATAGAATAGGCCTTTGATAGGTATTTGTTATTGATCAAATAAGCTTGACATTGATAGCAATAGCTTTCTTTTTAAATGAAAAAGTCAATCGACTTATTTTGTCTCTTCCAGTCAATTTAAAGTTCAGCAGAGGCAATACTAACATTCTTTCAAATTCAATATATTACGCTTAAAACTCCTAGTTACCTGAGATAATAAAAGCAAAAACAGTAAAAAGCACATGAAAAATTGTGTAATTGCGATGATGTTTTGGAAGTTCTCAAAGAAGGAACTCTGTCTAGCTCCAACTTGGGCTTCCCATTCTTGAGGAGATAGGCATGTTCTAAGAGGTCCTGTCTCCCATACAGAGCAGTACTTAGGAGAGCAGGGCTCTATGATCTTGACATGTGTTCTAGGATTTACACTTTCCATTTCTACCAAATTTTGAAGGGTGAGAGACTGAAAACATATACAAAATAAAGTATATATATTTTTTTGTCCTAATTAATATCAGGGTCCTTTTCAGGAGTTATTTTAGTCTGAATTGTAATTGGACTATTTTTTGTATGTATATTTTCTAGTTTATTGCCAATTTAAACTTGCCTAATAATTTCTTGAAAAGAGAATTTCACTGAAAGTGATTGTTGCTAGATCAGTTTCTTTAATGCATAAACATGTTAATTAGCTGAAAAATATCAGATGTCCTCCAATGGGTTGTTCTGATTATGAAAGGAGTTTTATAATTTAAAGGAATATTGTGCAGTTTGCATTTATTGTTAAACTCTGAGAAGTAGTGTACATTTTAAGATGAAAAAATTTTGTATTTGTATTTTTTTTTAAATTTTAAAGTTGGGCAATTCTGTGCTAGAAAGCAATGCATACAACTTAGTTGACCTCATTATTTTCTTATAACTTTTTATTTGCTACTTAGCTTGTCTTTTTTGAAACTTAACTGGACACAGCAATGCCAGTTTCCTTCCATTTGTATTTTAAAAAAACAACCAAAATGATGATGATGAGTTAGAGTTTATGAAGTGACTAAGGCCAGTCAAGCAAATCGTAGATCATTTCTTCACATCAGGAGAAATCTGGAGTAGAATCTGTTTTCCAAGGTTTTGCTGTGTTACTTCCTGGACTCTTACTCAGTGTTGCAGCCATGAGGCTGTGTGTGCTTCAAATGATCACAGAGCATTCGCCGCTACAGTTTTCTCGTGATATAGTGTTCTGTAGTTAAGCATCTGTAATTTACTGAGGCAGGTGAGCTGTAACTGTCAGAAGCAGAGGCTGCCTTCCCAGGAAAGCTGAATTTGGTTAAAACATCATATGTGTAGCATGTTTGTCTGTTTTTCATTCCAAGACCCAAAGTTAAGAACATATGATTCCATTTGATTATATGGTGGATTATTAACTTATGCCCAAACCAGTGTAATCTCAAGGATATTATCAGCAAAGTATTATGTAATATAATATAGCTGTTATATTATATATTATTTTGGTTGTTGAAGAAACATGTCTGCTTTTCTCACTAGTTATATTCACACATTCAGAGATAGTGTAATACCGTTTTTTAGTTATTGATTTTGAAAAATTGACAGGAAAGATGGATGTTCGCATTGTTATAAATGCAGTATTTCAGTTTATTGACTTTTCAAGCTACTCAAAAGTTCAAATTGTAGTTACGAAGTGAGAGCTGAACTTGACTTGTACTGACTCCCTCACCCCTCCAGTTTTCTTGGCACTGTTCTCTGCCCAGCTGGGTTAGGCCATCCTGAAAGGCAAGAGGTGATTGGTTGCCTCAGCAAGGGGACTCTTGGCAGATAATTTAATGTTGCCCAAGCTTTTCTGCTTAAGAACTGATTATGGATTCCCGTACAATGTTACCACGATTGCTTTGGAAAAGAAAATACTTCAGGTAAAACTTAGGGTTGTCAAGAAGAAATATAGGGAATCTGTCAAATGCAAGTGGGCCTTTTCTGGAATTGGCGTGTTTGACCTGGTAGGATGCTAACCCTCTCTCATTGACCTCTCCACCTACTTGGCACACTACCTAATACTCAAGTTACCTGTTGCTTTAGGATTTTTTTAAACTATATTTTTAGTTCTAGATGGACACAATATCTTTATTTATTTATTTTTATATGGTACTGAATCCAGTGCCTCACCCATGCGAGGCAGGTGCTCTACCGCTGAGCTACAGCCCAGCCCTGGGATTTTTTTTTTTTTAATCAATTTAACTGTTCTTGTAGAACAGTGGAAGTAATTCAAAGTTACAGATGGTTTAGAATAAATTTGTTCTTTTCTCACCCTTATTCTTGGGAAATTTTGCTTAGTTTTTTGATCTTAGATTAGTATGAAATGTAGACCAGCTATTATATAAAGTTTGCTTTACAACTAGCTTCTTACTATTAAAAAAAATATACATACACATATATTTTATTTTTTAAATTTATATATGGCTACGTGTATTTATGAGTACAGTGTGATGTTGTATGTGAATGCATGTAGAATAATTAAATTAAGTTAATCATATATTCATTGTCATATACTTATTTCTTTGAGGTGAGAATGTTTAAAATTTCTTTTAGCAGTCCTGACATATAGCAGTAATGCATATTTATTAACTCTAGTCATCATATTGTGCAGTAGTAGGTCACTAGAACTTATTCCTCCTCACTGAAACTTTGTACTCTTTGACCAGCATCTCCTCTTTCACCTAGCCTTTAACAGCCCCTAGTAACTGCCAGTTCTTCTCCTGAGTTAGACTCTTTTAGGTTTTACATGTAAGTGATATCATGCAGTGTCTTTCTGTGCCTGGCTTATTTGCTTACTATGATGTCCTTTAGGTTCATCCATGTAGTTGCAAATGGCAGAATTTCCTCCTTTTTTGAGACCGGATAGTATTTTATTGTATAT